GTTTTGGGAGAGCATGCCAGACATTACTTGTTCAGTAGTTCAGGGTGATGTATAAAGCCAATTTATTTTCTTAGTATAATTGTAGATTATTTTTCCCTTTCTCACGTGCTACAGATACACTGAAACTGAAGTGTATCCGCAGCTAAAATAGGTGTATGTGTAGGTAGTATTTTCCTTTTTAGTAGCAAGGGAGTGGCCTCATGGTTTCTTCATTGCAGAAGCATGGTTTTTAAATGATTGGAGTTCTGAGGCATTCTTTTAATCTCTAGCTAAAAGAGATTTAAGCACCCAAAAATAGTCACAGAAAGGTATCTAAACAGGAATCAGTTGTCACCAGTTCATCATTGCAATATTTTCTGTTCAGAAACTGACACCTGGCATTGTCATAATGTTTGTGGGCTGTGGAAAATGGGACAGATAATTGGGTTGGCAGCATTTGGAAATCACATGAAAGAGAAGACTGAGTAAAATTCCCAAGAACTCCACAAGAACACGTGATTGGATAATATCCAATATACGAGATCTGTATCATATTCCAGTGGTACAATAGATCTTGTGATACAGAGTGCAGTTCTGGTCATGTCCCTTTAGAATATATGTGGGGTTTTTAGGTTACAGAAGCAATTAGACTTCTGTACAAAGTGTTGGTGTTTATTTTCCATTATAAACAATGAAAAGACATATAATCAAGCCACAAATCAAAAGAGAAAGAAAAAAAAAGGGGGGGGGGAAGAAGCAAAGAAGTTACTGGCAGTACACGCCACTTTATTTCTTTTTATAATAATATTAGATAAGCATATATAATTAAATTGAAAGCAATTAATTGAGAGATAGCAAAAGCAATAACTGTTTTACATAACAAGCAATTAGCTTGTAAAACTGTTTGCCAGAAGCGATGGCTGAAGTTGAGAGCTTATACCAGCCTCTGTGGGTTTAATTTTCTGACAGTTCACAGGAGAATTAGGTAGGCATTTTTTGCATCATGGGAATGAGGACAGAACAACTGCCCAAGATAAAAGCAATGCTTGAAATAGTGTTTGTTTCTTGTATCTCCCCTTGAAGACACGTTCCAGGCCATCATGTAAGACATGGTTCTAGGTTGAATCAATCACTGTGTTGGTTCTTACATAGCCTTATGGAAGGGTCCGTATTCACAGAAGATTAAGGTACAAGTACCAGTGTACAGTGTCATAAGCAGGATGATGTCATATTTCAGATACCTTTTAATCCGTTTGAGTATGCACCTTAGTTCTGAGACAATTTTGATCCAATTAAGGAATCAGTTGGGCAGGGAGGGGGCTATTTTAAAGAAGTCTTTGGAGGTCTAATCATTTTTAAACAGACAAATATCATGCCAGGCCTTTGCTCTGAACTAGTTATCTTAAGCTAAAAACGCTACATAGGAGTGGTTTGCCTATCTAAATAGTGCTTGGGAGTATCATCAGAGTAATGTTTGAACAACTCTGACAAAACATACTGCTTTTTCCACAGCTAAGGAAGAGGAAAATCTGAAATGGCTGAAAGATTTCTGCAGATAAGGAAAAAAAATGCAGCTGCAAAGGAAAACGGAGACAAAAATATTTGCACATTCTTCCCCATAACAGACTCTCATTGCGACACTTGAATCAGGCATTGACTCATCTGGGTAAAGCCTTTTACTGCAGGTGCCATCCATTTCATGAGTCTCTTCAGAGGGCATTGGGGGGAGCTGCGCTGCAACAGGAATGCCTCAGCATTCCTCAGATACAGCAGGTAGGAGAGCAGAGTCCCTCTCACACAAACAGCAACTTGCTGCAGCTCTTCTCGCTTCAAAGCAGTATTTCATCTCTTTCAAAATCATATTCTATGGGGTAAAGGAAGTATCATGCTGAGATTGTCAGCGACATTCCTCACTCCTCAAACGGCTTCCTTTGAACAGCTGTTAAGATACCATTTTAGTTTCACATTTGCTCTGAAGGGATAGCAGATAATGAGTGCAAGTTGGAAAGAAATTATTTGAATTCCTAGGCAGACACTTTATTTGTATTGCACTTATGGTCGGCCAGCAGCAGCGACCATTTGTTTTTAACTGTCACTGGGATCCTGTGTCCTGCTGTGTGAGATGAAACACAGCGAAGGATTCATCGTTCCTCTCTCTTACTTTAGGTGGTTGCTGCAGACTGTCTCAGGGCAGGGGGGGATATGTGTGAAATGAACCAAGCACCACGTTTTCTATGCGTGGGTGGCTAAAATACAATGGGAACTGAGGGCACAATCCAAATCATTATGGATATTCCTAGAAAAATCTCTTATCCCTTCTAGCATCACCTCCCAGGGCAGGGAAGTGCCAGTGCGGGACCAGTTACCATGGTGGTTCATTCTTCCATTGTCTCATCCTAAAACAGGGAGCAGAAAGTCCTCCAGAGGTGGATGCAGGGAATGGCTTTAGCTTTTCAGCTGGGGGGGGGGGGATAAAACAGTGCAAACGCTCATCACGTTTATATGACTGCTTTGGCTACAGTCAGTGACACAGCTGAAACCCTCCCCACCAACCTAAAAGCAGCTATGGCATGTAGTGCAGGCAGAAAAGTCACTCTAGTGACTACTAGTAATTCAGAAATGCAAATGGAGGGAAGTGGTTTATGAATTATTTGAGGGGTATGAGGTATCTTGAAGCACAGTACAAGTTTAAGAAATACGTTACATAGCGGTAAGCTCAACAGTTTTGTTGCCAATAACTACAATGATTTAGCATTGTTTCTTTTCTGGAGTTGAACAAAATGCACAACTGCTTCCCTTTATGTACCCTAAGGGCATATTAGGGCAGTGTTTTTTGTTTGTGGAATAATGGTCAAAACAGCTTTGCATAACCAGTTACAGTAAAAATCATTTGCACTATTTGTATTATCTACTTACATGGGCCATTTTTGGCTCCTATGTGGTTTGCAGGAAGTTTGGCTGAATTTCAAAACAAGCTTTTAAAGCTGCTCGGAACCAACAGAATAGATAGGGCTGGAAAGGACCTTAAGATCATCCAGTTGCAACCCCCCCTGCCATGGGCAGGGACACCTCACACTAAACCATGGCACCCAAGGCTCTGTCCAACCTGGTCTTGAACACCGCCAGGGATGGAGCATTCACAACCTCCCTGGGCAACCCATTCCAGTGCCTCACCACCCTTACAGTAAAGAACTTCTTCCTTATATCCAATCTAAACTTCCCCTGTTTAAGTTTTAACCCGTTACCCCTTGTCCTATCACTAATGAAGAGTCCCTATAGCATCCCTATAGGCCCCCTTCAGATACTGGAAGGCTGCTATGAGGTCTCCATGCAGCCTTCTCTTCTCCAGGCTGAACAGCCCTAGCTTCCTCAGCCTGTCTTCATACAAGAGGTGCTCCAGTCCCCTGATCATCCTTATGGCCTCATCTGGACTTGTTCCAACAGTTCCATGTCCTTTTTATGTTGAGGACACCAGAACTGTACACTGTACTCCAAGTGAGATCTCTCGAGAGCAGGTAGAGGGGCAGGATCACCTCCTGCATGACATCAGCTGAAGCTAAAGACGAGCTTTACATGACCAGAAAATGAAAGAGGAGGTACTTTGGATTCTTATATGGCCCACAGAGCGGTTTTGTTTTTTCCTTAAAATTATGTGTAAAGAGAGAATTTAAAAAGAGAATTAAAAAAAATGCATCACATGTATTTTTTGTCTTGAATCACAGAATTTCTCACAGATTCAATGGTATGTGAATTATGATAACAGAAAAGCAACCAGGCACATACCTATGTTCAGTGTTAAGGCTTGTGGTAATTTGTGTGTTTAAATTTAGCAGTCACACTACATTATTTTTGCGGGGTAGCGCATTTTTCCTAGTTCATGTATCATATCAGATTTCAGATTCTCTCATGCTTATGTTGAATCCAGCCCCAATTCTGTCACTATCATCCCAATGGAGCTGTGTGAAATACAGTAGGATTATCTGTATGCTAATCGTGTAAATGAAGATGCAATAAAGGTAACATCAGTGTAGATGTATAGGTCATAAAAGATAAGCAGTGTCTGGGGTTGGTAGGTTACTTCCGCAGTTGTATAGATTGTTGTTTGAAGGAGGGCTGGAGCGATGCACTCTTTGCTGACACTTGGAAAGCACAGTAAATACTTCGTGGAACGCATCAACTGCGCTCAGCTTTGTGTGCGACACTGAACTTCTATGAAGCGCGTTATTATTAAGGATTAACTACACCATTACCTTTTAATAGGATCATAAATCTTTAATTACAGTTCAATATGGTACCAACTAAAATTGCTTTTGGAATGAAACACTTTTATTGAATGATATGAATGCGAAATTTCTTTCAGAGGTAAAAAAAATCATAACTTCTCAGGGCGAAGTTAAGGCATGCAAAACTCCCACTGACTTCAAAGGATGCCAGTGTCTGCCCACGGATTAACATGGGATTTACCCGGTCTGCCATTACTATTTTTACTACTTTTAACACCCATTAAAAGTTCGTGCCCCTCTGTGGTTGTTATATTTATAGTTGTTTTTTAAATTCACAATAGTGTCAGCTCTAATTATTTGAGAGATCTCATCCAGGCAGTGGAGGAACAGCAGGTTGGTGGTGGGTGGTTTTCGTCAAGAAACAAGAGTGTTCACTGAAACTGTATTAAAAAATGCAGCTGGAATTTCATGCCAGTTGAAACGTGAATGTCCATTACTGTCATTGCAGCTGCAGTTTCTGCTCCAGCTTAGCTTCCCTGCAGTGACCTTTCCAAACATGTGTCTCCTCAGGCTCAGAGGCTGCCTGTGGCAGAAGGGCTGTGCCAAGGGAGGCAGCCTTCTGGACGAGTGATGGGGTCAAATGCTGTAGTGATGGGAAAGTTTTTAAAACGTGCAAAACTGCATATTGTTGCTTGGAGGGTTATTTTAGGCATCTTCCAGAGGGAGTGTGTAGTGCAGTTAAGTACTTTCCTGTTCGTTTAGTCTTCAACATTTTATGTTGCTTTGTTTTTCAAGCAGCAGCTGACTTTTATATGGGAACATCTTTTGGATCGTACCCTTGGATTACACCCATGAATGGAAAGGCAATAGATCCTACCCACGCCTAAACTCTCACTCAAGGCGAAGAGGAAATCTGTGCCAAAGAAAGCGAGCTGCAGTAGGAAAGTGTTCTTTGCAGCTGTGTGCTGAGTGGATGTGTAAAGAGGTAATGCTTCAATTGCAAGGCAGAGGAAAAGGGAACACTGTTTTCACAGCAGATATTTTCCAGCCCACTGATGTAAAACCCCCTTGTTTCCTTATTAGAGGATACGACGCAGACTCTTCCACAGTTGCAGAGACCCTAGGCAAAGCGAATGTTCACATGCATGCGATGAAGCTGCATCACAACAGCTGCAGGTTTAAGCAGTCCTTTCTGCTCTTGGTAAGTGTGAAAAATCATTGGCAAATAAGGTTAGTATTGGTCTTAGGGCTGTTTCACGTGCTGTCAGTTAAGAGGGTAAAAATCAGGTGATTTTGCAAGTGAAGGCAGATTTGCATTTTTTGCCTAACTGACGTGTTCTTACTTATTAAAAAGATTAAAACGTGAAGAAAGCTACCTCTGCATCATTCCCTGTATGCTTCTCTTGACTGGCATTACTGTCCTCATGCCTTTTTCAAACTGTCTCTGCTTTCCTCTCAGATTTGGGGGTACCAGCATAGTGTTTCAAAGGTAAAAGTGGAATGTGTTCGCTTTAACTAACTTGAAAAACCATAGACAGTGAAGTGGCAGTAGCATAGACACAAGTCAAGCTATACTCCATACCCAGGAGCTCTGCCAAGTGGAGTCAGTTTGTGCTGTAATTCACAGCAGTACATCGTAGCTGGCATAGCCATTGTCAAAATCTGTCTAGTTTAAAGGTAATGCTGATACTGAGTCCTTACTCTGCAATCCTCCAAATACACGTAGCTGCAACTTAACACATCCCTGACCATTGTACTTGCTTCTGTCCTTCAAAAATAGCTTTTGTCTAGAAGAAGTTGTAATGTTGATATTTGTTAGCTGTCAGACTTGAAAGTTTGGATGCTTTTATTATAATAATTCAACAGGAATTTTGCTACCCCCAGTTACTGAATCTCACAATGCATGGCAAGTGTTTCCGAAATGGGTGCAATGACTGGATTATCTAGTAGCATGGGCTGAGAGGAATGTACTTGCAGAGTGAAATTAGTAGTGAGAGTGCCACGTTTCGGGCTTTTTCAGGTTTTGTTAGTTCAGACTGCCTTGCATGTACTGAGCATCCATTTGCAATTGGAGTGCATTGTATGTGCTGCTAGTGCATGTCTTCTGGGTTAGCTCTACCCAAAAAGAATGCATTTTGTGCAAGAGCCACGATGCAGACAAACAACAGTATCACAGGGCTGGGGAGGAGGATGAAATAAAGGTTGCCTAAAATCTCATAATCTAAACCAGCAAAGAGTACTACACCCTAATTTTAAAGCATTATTGTTTATTGCATGTAAGAGGAGTGAGTGGATGGTGCATTTCCAAAAGTAGGAAACTTAGATGTCTTTTAATCAGAGGGTTTTTTGGAATTAGTATTTTAGCTTGCGTTTTCAGTGCTTAGCTCCGCTTAACTGCAGAATTGTCTTACCAAGTTACCAGCACACAGTAATTTTTTACACCAGTGTATGTTGGGTATATATGCAAAAAGTTATAACATACTTGAGGTTTTGCAGTCTGTTTTCATAGCCGTTCCCATAGGCAATCCAACTTGTAATTTTGAGGGTTTTAATACACTGGCTGGAAAAGTGTGGGTAGCTTAAAGTGACAAATAATTGGGAATGTTTACATTTTTCTTTGCCTAATATTCTGCTGGCTTATTAGAGTATGTTTACAAGTGAATGCCACAAATAGTTGGACTGAAGTTGTGAAATGCTCATCTAAAAGATTTCAGATTAGCTTTTTTTTGTATACCGAGCCTTTATACCGGGATAACTGTACTTAAATATTGCCTCAGCTTACGCTGTCTTGCTGACAGGTTGGTTTTTTTCTAACAAATAATTATTTTGGGAGAAAAAAAAGGAAAAAGGTGGCTGTGTTTTGATTTGATTTTTTGGTGTGTGTTTCATTTGGGGTTTTTTTTTGGTGTGCTCCCATCTGAATGTTCTTTATAATGTCAAAGAGACTGAGAAGGCATTTCCCACTCCATTTCCTCCAGATATAATTTACCACAGGATTGTAGAAGTATGTGAACTGTAGCATAGGGAAGAAGAAAGAAATAGTATTTCCCGTGATATTGATATTACTGGGTATACTGGGTAAAAGACTACGAACTTAAACTGCAAGCCTGGTGTTTAAGTTGGTAGTGTTCAAATTCTTTAATTAAGGACTTTGAAAGGACTCTGAGTTTATTTCTGCATTAATTTTTTATTCACAAGGATTAATTGTACGGGGCAAATAAGATAAACTGTCTTGAGCAGGAGTGACAAAAAGCAGTGTGTGTACACTATATGTTTGCAAAGTCAGCAGCACGGTTACAGTGATGATTTTATCCTGGAAGCTAGCATCTGGCATGCTGACCTCACAGACTGACAGAAGATCCACACATAACACATGCAATCAACTTACAATGGGGAAAAAGTTGGCAAAGTTTGTGCTTACCGCACAAAACTGCCCTGCGTGCACGTGGCAGAGGGATGACGTGTCCCTGTCAACTCCTGGGAGAGCATTCCCTGTTGGAAAGGGAGGTTGCCTTCGGAGACAGAAGTCACACGCTTAGCAGTTTCATTAGAGAAAGCTGCATTTTGGGGAAGTATTTCAGGATTGTCTGAGGTGTGGCTTAAAGATTTCTTATGTATGTTCTCAATAAGGAAGCAACAATTATCCAGAGCTCAGGAGCTGAGAGCACAGTGTAATGAAAATACAGCCAACCTGATGAAGAAATCCTGTTTCATTCTTTCAACAGTGAACATAGCTGTGTTGGCAAAGGATGGGCAGAGACTGAGTAAGGAGCCAAAGCCATTTGAAAATAATATAAAACGATACCTGCTGTCACATCTCCTTGAGTTAGGGTCTTACCGTGATTTCTAAGCTGAGTCAGCCTTTACCCTTGTTAGTAGCTTGATAGGAGAGCTGATAAGGAAAACCCATCACATTTTTAGGACATGGTATTTATGGGTAAGTAATCAGTGCTGTCAATCCCTCCTCCTCCACAGCCAAAATCAGTGCTGCACCTTACCCCATTATTCACATTGAGTATTTTGGACTTCCAGATTACTGCAACCACATCCTGGCCCCTAACACTGATTAACTTCCCCTCAGCAGGTTTCACCAAGGAGGACTATAAATCAGATGTGCCTTGGTCATGTTCTAAACTGGGTAATTAAATTTTCCCTGCCTACATTACCTTTGAAGTTTCAATTACTTTACAGCTTCTTTTCCCTTCTTTATTTGATTTCCTGAACTGGTTTGCAGTATTTCTTTGCTCTCATGCATGTGTCTACTCCAGATACATCTGTATTTGAACCACAGTAATTCTGCCCCACGTGACATTTGTATAGCCCTTGCAGACATGCTAGGAACTAATAAATATATGTGTTTCCTTAGTGATATAACAGTGATTCATGATACATTATCCTTCACCATACTTTGAAATAAATATGCCCATGTTTTTTATGCACTTGGAAATGCAAAGAGCCACACTGTTTATGGAGGCATTGCCCTCACAGAATCATAGAATAGTTAGGGTTGGAAAGGGCCTTAAGATCATCTAGTTCCAACCCCCCTGACATGGGCAGGGACACCTCACACTAAACCATGTCACCCAAAACTTCGGACGTGGAGAATATCCTTCAGTTCAGAGCTTTTCCGTGTCACCGTCTAAATCAGCATGTGGAGGGCAGGAAACCGCTTCTCTTATCAGAGAGGCTGCAGGCCCTGGGTATTTTGTTTGTTCTGGAGCAAGACACATCTTTTAGCTGCCACAGCTCTTACCTGGCTCTTTGCTATTACTCTAACAATAAGTTGAAGCTGTGGCTTAGGTCGTGAGAGCTCTGCAGAAACATGGTTATAAATTCCAGACAGTCAAATAAAACTTTGCACATCAGATGAGAATACAGAGCAGAAAGATTTGATTTAAGGCACAGTGATCCAGGTTGATGCACTGATGTAATTTCCATCTCTCACAAAGGTTAAAAGGAAGAAATAATAAAAAATAATGTTGGAACTAAGCCTATCACTGAGATCTCTACCTGGGGAATATTGATTTGATACTATCAGGCCAGAGGAAAGGCAAGGGTTCTTGCATTTATTGTAGCAGTAAGAAGGTGAAGTTGTACTTCTCAATGATGTTCCACTCCAAACACAAACACTGAATCGATATTCAAAAGTGCTGTTTCCTACTGGAAAAGTCCACCGCAGGAGAAGTTGAGGAATGAATTGCGTTGCCCACATAGACTTAAAGCATGCACCATGGGAATATGTTAGTTCTATGCTTTTTACGCAGGCATTGCAAGAGGGCTCTTGGACTTTGATGTGTGCAGGTTTTGCATGTTGCTTGTATGGTAGTTCACATGCTGCTGTGAGATTACCACTGCTGGTAACCTAACAGTAATCTGGATACTGAGTTTTAATGTAGCAGTGCAACAAGACTTTTTAAGCACAACATTCCCCCTTCAAAGCGTCAGTTGTGCCAGCACCAGCAGGCAGCTGGGGAAGGTCTGCCACAGCCTGACAACAGTAAGGCAGGGCTGAGACCTTCCCTTACGTTGTTAACTTCCATTGCTTGGTAATGGTAAGGAGGAGATGGGCCAGAGAAAGGAAAATGAAGAGATGACATGGAAAGGAAGTTAAAGAGAACAGGCGTCAGAACAGGAGAAGATACCGCTATTGCTGCATGGTAAAGCAATACATAAAATTAACTATTCTTATAATTAAAATAACGATACTAGAGCTTGTTCAGTAAAATGCCTTTTCATATCTGGAATAGCATTCCAATCCAAACTTGTTTTCAATAGAGATGCAACACAAAATTTGAGTGCATTATGAGTCCTTGTGTAGCCCCGTATATAGGTGAGATGAAGTGATTCAAATGTAACGTTGTGTTCGGTGTACATAATATTGACTTCTTTCTTTGCCCCATCTTACCCTGTTCTGGCAGACTTAAGCAGGAAATGACGTGTGGATAGGAGTGTCAATATACTCTTCACATCACCGTTTATCTAGTCCTGCTCATGACAATAGCTGGCTATTGGCATAATGTTTATAGAGAGCACAAGATGAACTAGAAAGCAGGGCAGCAGCATTGCCCTTGCTGCTGTCCAGAGTCAAATAAAGCCCTATCCCTGATGGGGTAAACTATTCAGAAATAGAAATGAGTCTGATTTTCCTGCTGCCTTCCACTGATAGTGGTCATTTACTCTTGGGGTGTTATATGTAAAGAA